ATATTGTTGGTTTCTGAAACCAAGTTTTTACCATGTAATATATAAATATATATATATATATACTTCAACTTCTTATTGGCCGTACTTTAAATGCGACTCAACCAGCTAAAGTCTTAGCCTAAAAGCCTCCTCCTTCTTTTTTTTTTATATAATTTTTGACCTTCTGAACCTAGCCAAGCGACAGATTACTGGAAACATGATATACACCTGTAGCTGCTGCTTTCTTTTTTTCTAAAGATTTTATTTGTTTTATTATGCGATTTAAACAATCAGTCAGCTTTTTATCTCTATCAAGCCAAAGACTGTGAACTAAGGTATAGTTACAATGTTTTGTAGCTTATATGGTATTTATATTGAGGCTTATTTACAAGGAAGGGCATTGAGCACATAACACATTGAGGACACCCAATACTGTAGGGTATACAAATGGTTCGCCTCGCCTATTTTGATCTTCAGCCTCTCTGTGGAGCCCATATTCCCTTTTTCCTTACTACATACTCTAGCCTAGAATCTTCCGGTGTCTGGCAGCCTAGACTCTTAAAAATGAATTAAGTTCCTTGGTTTTTTTTTTATCGTGACATACCATGGAAGTGCATAGTTAGATCCTAGGTCGTTTAGTTGAGCCCATAATCCTTTTTTTAACTAATACACTCTCTAGCCTAGAATCTTCCGGCATCTTTGACAGCCTAGACTCTTGGACATTAATTTCATTCCTTCGTTTTTTTTTACAGCCCAATTAACTTATGACTGTGTACTTCATGCCCAATTGAACTACTTCGATATGCCTCACTATTTTTAGTTCCTTTCCTAGATTATTCCATTGGGAAACCTGTAATATTCCATATATATATAAACCGAAGGTTAAGCTGGTTCCCATTTTCTGGCGACCAATCTTCGACGACCTCATTGCCCTCAATAGCGAGCTAGCTAGTCTGTTGATCTAGACATCATTGTCCTTAGCAAGTTCTACTTATTTCCTGTCTTCTTTCTATTTTACTTTGTTAATTTAATGCCATGTCGCTTACCTGTGGCTCATTAGTGAGTCCTTTCGATTCGTCGCCCTTAGACAACTTGCTAGCACTTAATTGCACAGTTCCTTAGCTCCACTTTATAGCTTGCTATCTTTTAAATCAGTCTGCGCTGTGGTATATTTCCCAGCCAGGTCCTCTACCCTTTGACCTGTCTCCCTCTCCCTCCCTCGCCCTCGCCCTCGCCCTCTCTCGCTCAGGCTTCGAGCACTTTGCTGCCAACGCAGCGCATTGTTTCCGATACACTCGACGCGCTTGAACTAAACGATGTCAAATGCTCACTCAACTTGAGCGCTGCCAGCCACAAGCAGCGGCCCTTTTAAATAACTACACACACACACACACGCACGCCCTGCCTCTCCAGCATGTGTGTGTGTGTGTTGTCTTTCAACTCTTTCCTGCAGCCTGCTGGCTCCTTCGTCTTGCTGCACATGCATAATACACAACTTAATTAGTATTTCTACTTTATAGCACTCTCGACGAAGCAGCTGTTGGGCGACACAACCCTTCTTCTTCTTCTTCTTCTTCTTCTTTTTCTTCTTCTAGTCAGAGCTAAGCCCGAAATCTAATAATGGCACATTCCATACACGCATTGCCATTGCCACATTACCATATCAAAAACGACTACGGCTTGTGCATGCCCCACGGGCACAGACGGGCGCCCAGACTCCCCGTATCCCCCGCCTCTCAACAGTCCGCCGGGGCATAGCTCAAAAATGCAACGAGCTTATATACATATACATATGTATATACATGCGTGGAGTGTGTTGTTTATGAACTTTGAACATTTGTGTGCTCGAATTCTGTCAAAGCTCGCTCGACACCAGGCGCTGCAGCAGCTGCAGGAGGAGTCCTGTCAGGAGCAGTCCTGTCAATGCAAAGGGTACTCTATGGATTAGTGCGGCACTCGAGCTGCCTGCCACACCTTTCTCCAGCGACCCAGCCTGGCCATTGACAACTATGTTGAACTTTTTGAAAGCTGTCACAACTAATTTGCATAGAACCCGCACACACACTCGCACACACACACGCTTGCCCAGTCGAGGCTTTGGCAAACCCGCATAACTTCTCTGTAAAAACTCTCTGATCTGCCCTGCGCCCGCACATATTGTTCCATATTTGTTTTTGCTGCTGTGCTTTTGGGCTTTGATTTGCGCCCAACTCCCATTTTTTTCTCTTGTTTTTTCTCTTCGTTTTTTTTTTGACCAACAAATATTCATGGCATCAAAAAAGTTGTTTGCCACAAAGATTTTCTTTTTTGCATCAAAGTGTGAGAGTTTCGAGTTGCTGTTCGGCAAATCCCGCAGATGCCATTTAAGCCATAACACGCTTCAACTTGTGCATGTACCATGTACTATGTATTGACCAATAAGAGTGACGAAAATGCTCGACTTGCAGCTACCCTGTGCCCAGTTGCAGGCGGAAGTGCTCGCCTAGCTGCGCACACAAAAGAAATTTGACTCCTTCATAACATCTGCAACCTTTTGAAAGTCTACACATACCAGAAATCAGGACTCTGAAACGCCTACGATCAAGAATATATATATAGTATGTACCTTAGACATGTTGCAGCTGTCTCTTGTTATATAATTTATTTAATGGCATACAGAACCTGCTCAGCACTTAACATTGAATCTCGTGTTTATATTTATTCCCATCTGGCTTCATCTGGGTTTCTCATTTATCATTGCTCAGTGCCCAAATGTCTAGACTCTCGAGGCACTTGTTCTCTGGCCCATTCGTCTTATCCTGAAAAGCATATAACCATATAATCTGCTTGCTTTCAATTCGCTTGTCGCTTGTCCAACTTGACCCAGGCCCTAGTCCACAATTTGCCCTAGTCCCAGCTCTACGGAAGATGCCTAGATTCGCGCACACCTTCAACCACTCGCACACCCCTCACACACACACCCCGCAAACTGCAGCACATTTGCCACATTTTATCTTAATTGCCATGCGTTGGCAATTTACATGCGGCGCCACAAAGTATTCGCCGCTCTTGGCAAACAGTTGCCACGCAATATCCTTCAACTTTGTATACCCTGTAATCACATGATTGTTTATTGGTTGGCTTCTCCGATGCAGTCTGTCTGTCTATATAGTGCCGCTGCTAAACAAAATATATAAAAAGTACATAGTATTTATATGTGTATATAGCATACTTTGCATTTTCGCCCATATATCTACAACTCAACTACATAAATCCCCATTTTCATTGTAATTGTTCACTTGAATTCAATTTTATTTGAGCAAAAACTTGTCAAATTACATCTTCTGGCTTAGTATAGGGTATTTCCAAGTCGTGCAGTCTAATTCGCAACGTTTTTCTTTATTGTTTACTCGCATATTTTATTTGCCCTTCAAAAGTGCCTCGCAATTTATGCGTGCTTCAGTCTCTGATGTTGTATCTTATGGGTTTTTTTGTATACCCTTCTTAAGGGAACATTAGAAACATTTAAAATCAAATATATTCAGTTGAGGCCTTAAAAGCATTCAGAAGTGCTAGTCGTTGGCATGTCCCTGAAATATTTCCTCAGATTTCCTAAATCCTAAATAAAATAAATATTACTTCGAAGAGGTTGTTCTTTTTAATGGGCAAAAACCCTTTTATATATCGGTCTAGATTTAGCTGAACTAACCTAAGCAAATATATGTATATGCATAGTACATCTGAGTCTGGGCTTTATTACGATTGGCTAAAATGCTGTGCTGCTCTATAAAATATAGTTAGTATTTTTTAAGTTAACTCTGACAGACTCTAGTTTACATTCTTCGCTTCTATTCGGAATCAGCTTACTATATTTATATATCTATATATATTTATATATAATTGACAGACTGTTTGATTTGTGACTTTTTGCTGCAGCTCACGCCATTAAGAGGTTTTGAAAGGGGTTTCCACTTGCAAGTGTGAAAAATTGGTGGAAAAGGCTTGTCTAACATATTTCGGCTTGCAATCGGATGCGGCTCAAGCTCATTTCGAGTGATATAAAATTTCATTGGAGACAACTTCCCTTTGATGCCAATGTATATAATTTATGTAATTTTTGATCCATATATATATATATACTTATAAACAGGGAATCTTTCGCAAAGCCTGGCTCCATGCGTTATCTAGTCGTAAATAATATAAGTTTATATATATTAGAGTATTTAAATTTCGTGCATACTCTGCTAGTATGTTTTATTATTATTATTATTTCTGTTGTGTCCTTGGGCCTGCATACATTCTCGGCGACCCGACTAATTTCTCTAAGTGTTTTATTATCCGTTGCGTGTTCTTCTCGTTGTTGTTGTTGTTGCTCGTGTTGCTGCTTGTTTGTGTTAATTTGACATGATTATGTCAGAATGTTTGACAACTTGTCATATGGCGCAAAAATGCCTTGGCCCAAGTATGGCTCGGCAACTTTCTTGCCCCAGCTGTGCCGCCCACCCGGCGAAGACGTCCTGCGTCTCGTCGTCCCTTTGCCACGTCCTTGAAGCGGGGCGTCTCACGAGCGGAAGCGGAAGCACATGCCAGGCCAAAGTTTCACTTCCCATTCGCATTTTTTTTTCTCTCGCTTTTTCCATTTTATTTTCTTTCTTTTGCGGCATTCTTGTGGCAAATTCATTAATAACATTTTGCCGCCCCTTGCCGGCCCTTGACAGCGTCTAGAAATATTGTTAAAATGGCGTAAAATTGCCGCTTCTTGGGCGTCAGTTTGTGGCACGCATTCTGCCAGACACTTTGGCGGCACACAGAGCCTGTTTATGTGTAAAAAAAAATACAAAAAAATAGAAGGAGGACAGAAAAAAATGTGTCGCAAATTAACCTTTTGACAGCTGAGCCTCGAGACGGCAAGCGCTGACAAATGGCACGGGACGCTCGTCTCGTTTGCAAGGACCAAATGAAGTGTGCGCCGAAAAAAAAAAAATATATATTTAAAGCAGTTACCAATTTCCTTACTCACTTTTCTTTTCATCTTTTTGCAGAACAAGTGAACAGCTGACGCCTGCAGCTGCTGCTGCTGCTGCTGCTGCTGCTGGTGCTGCAGTTGGCGTTGCCACGCCCCAAACAGAGAAAACGGAGGCTGTTGTGAGTGCAGTCAAGAGCAGCAACAACAACAACAACAATAACAACAACAATAATGGCAGCGGCAACAATGCGCAACAGTCACAAAAATCTCAGCAACAACCGAACAACAACAACAACAACAAATTGAATGGCCAATCAAATGTCAGCCCGAACAACAACAACAACAACAACAACAACAACATGACGCCCACCAGCCAGGTGGACGGTAAGCACGGCGACTGTCGACGCAGCAGCAGCCTGGAACCGGATGCCGAAGACGTTGTCGACCTGGCACATGGCGGCGCCTTCGAGGACGACACACAGGCTCTGCTGCCCAAATGCGCGCGCCGCTCAAGAGATGAGCTCAGTCAGGTGAGTCGAAAGCCAAATTATCATGTTCAACCAGAGACAATGCAATACCCTGCTAGACATACATATAGGCCAAAGGTGCTATGAAAAGTACCTTGCAGATAAGTTGGGATTATGGTCAAGTTTAGGAATGCAAAGTTTGCAGCAGATATCTTGAAAACCAAAAAAGTTTTCCCTACAAATTCATGTTTGAACGATTCTTCCTAGAGAGAGCTATATGATATAGTAATCCGATCTTGATAAGATATTGCTGCTATCAAGTTTCATTTAGATAAACAACTTCGTTTTTGAATGACTCTCCCTAGAGAGCTATGTCCGATATTGATAGGATTTTGCTTATATATGGGAAGCATTTGGAGTATTTGTTTAGAGTATCTAGAATCCCATATTAGAGTTCCATGCGCAAAATCATTATTTTCCAAGAGATCTATATACGTATTATAGTCGTCCGATGTGGACAAGATTTATCTGGTTGGAATATATATATCAACTTGACTCTTGATACTGATCAGGAATTCATACATATATGTATCTCTGGGGTCGAAAATGTCAACAAGAGCATTCAAATGTATCTAAACACTTAGTTGGATAAAATAGAAAGCTGGATATGCTACAAATAATAATGCTCGAATCGGAAGTGCCCGTCTAAGAGATGCCCTAGGCTCAGCGCCAAGCTTTTGTTATGATTACAGGGTATACAAATGGACTTTACTTTATAGATTACATATATGCATAGCTGAAACCTAAGAATTGTTTTACTTGCATGCTAATGCTTATGCTGATGCTTATGCAAGTGCCCAGCTTTGGTTTTATGTGATTGGAAATCACTTGGCAACTGTGCCACAGAGAGGGAGAGAGAGAGGGGGGGGGGAGAAAGGGAGTGAGGCAATTGTGTGTGGGCAACTGTTTGAGCATATTGATGAGCTGAGTTTTGTATTTGTCGCACTATTCATATGGGTTTTGCCCGGCACTGTGCCCAGCCCGGCCCGCGCTCGAACCGTAGGCAGCCTTTGTGGTGGCCGCTGCTTGCCGCACGCAGTCAGTCAGTGCCACAGTAAGTGGCAATTACGCAAGCTGCCAATGGGCCATCAGCAGCGGCAGCCAGCGCCAGTTACCACTCCTTTTGTCCCTTTGTCCTTTTGTCCTGTTGTCCTGTTGTATGTGGCACTCATTCATTCATAATTTGCTACGTGTTGCCATGCCAGCCATAATAATCATAATGCTGCTGCTGCTGCTGTCGTTGGTGCTGCCATAAAGTGTGCATCAAATGATGCCCATTTCGAGAGAAATAAAAATTACAATACACGTTCGCTGGTCTCACGTGATTCCCTTTGACATGTTTGAGACCCAACACTCGAATAGCCTTACCCCATTATGGCTTCATTATTTACATGCATTCGTGCGTGCTGTGTGCTGTTTTTCATTAATAATCCTGTGAATCCTTTTACCATCAACAACGGCATCATCGTCGTCATCATTAAAAGCGACGCCTCTTTTCTAATGTCTGACAGGAAATTACAGCCAAGGCGCCGCCTAATATGAATAATGAAGCACTCTACGCTCCACCCACAAAACTCTTTTTGACAAGTCAATTTACTAGTTAATTTGATATGCCAGCACCGCCCAGCCCCGCCCCGCCCAGACCAGACCCGAGCACACCCGAGCAGACCAGACCAGACCGAAGCGATCCACCTTCCACAATCCAGAGTTTGCTCATGCGTTAAGCATGCAGCTGCATGCTGTCTATAATTGCTTAATAATGCGTTAGATTGCAAGCATATTGAAGCTGAGGGCATTGTTGCCAAACTTCTTCAACTATTCGCACGTTGCAAGGTTGCCAGACTGCTGAAAGCAACTACTTAAACAGCTGGCAACTCTGCCATCGTTGCCAAACTTCTGACACTACTTATACGATCGCATTTCAATTGCTCTCAATTTGTGCTCTAGTTTTTTGGGCGTTGTTGCCAAACTTTCCAATGATAACAAACATGCGTAATTGCAAGCATATTGAAGTCAAAGAGTTATTGCCAAACTTCTTTAAGTACTTTGACAGAGGCGAGCTTTGTGGTTAGACTTCGTGTCTGTGATATTCCTTTATAAGGGCAGCACAATGTCAATGTCAATGTTAAATATCATGTACCAAATAGATAAATTAAGTGTTTGCTTTTAATAATTCGGTGATGTGTTGTTGCCAATCTTCTTAAAGTACCGAAATCGCAACGTTGCCATACTTCATGCACTGCAAAGTAAGCAATACATATTTAAAATATCTGCTTAACAAACAGATAAAACCAGTTGCGGTTTCTAAGACTGCAATTACTGCGTTGCCGAACTTCAGGTGCTGCAAAGTAGGCAATACAAGGTCGTCGCTCAGGCAAATGTGCAAGTAAATTAAACTTGTCATCCACTAAAAAGAGATCGACACATACAAAACTTTAACTTTGCAGCTAATGCGCTGTTGTCCAACTTCATAGAGTACCTATAGACCCGGAACGTTGCCATATGTCATGCGCTGCACAGTAAACATAATGCAACATATATTAAAAATATCTACTTTAAACAATACTTAAATCAAGTTGCGGCCTTTTTATCAAACAATTCTCAGACTGCAATTGCTGCGTTGCCAAACTTCAGGCGCTGCAAAGTAGGCAATATATTTGCCCTCTCGACCGCGTTGCAAGTAATTTAGGTCTGTCAATTTTGTCTTTGTGCTCGTTCGAGTGCCGTTGGCCAAGTTCAAAGTCAAAAACCAAATGAGAACTTACAAGCTATTAAGTTTCTATATACTGAATATATATATGCATGTATTCGAGCTGGGCAACCACAAACGTGTGGACTGTCTGGACCGCTTTGAATACAAACCGAAGGCAGACACATGTTCACATTTTAATTTGTGTTGCATTTCCTGTTGCATTTGGCAAACGGCAACACACACACACACAGAGAGAGAGAGAGAGAGGAGCAAGGACAAACATCTTCGTTGTCTCGACTGCCGCATAAAATATTGATTTCAATGGGCTTCAGTTGACCAGTCGAGACACAGGAAAAGCAACAGCAGCGGCAGCAGCAGCTGTGGCAGCTGTGGCCATGCCACAAGCGGCAGCCAGCCAACAATTTTGCTCTGCGTTTTTCGGCCATTTATGAATATTCAATAAAAACAACAGCAACAACAACAACGGCAACAAGCGTTGCCGATAAAAGTGTCTGCTGCGCGTTGCCATAACCACAGACAGCTTCAGTGCAACAACAACAACAACTCGAACAACAACAACTTGCAACACATGAGCCGCTTGCCGCCGCCGCTGCTGCACGTTGTGTCTGCCTGTGGAAAGTTTTTATCGCTAGCCTGTGGCACTTGGAGGCTGTAGGGGAGGGCTGCTCAACTTTATTACTTTCATTATGCTTCAACCCTGCTGCTGGCATGTTGCCCATGCCCCAACCTGCCCGCCCAGCCGCTGGCCCACCTTTCATGGAGCTAACCAACCCCTCCAGGCAGAGTCCATAAACAAGTTTCGAGTCTAATCTGCAGCTGCGGGCCATGTCCAGGTGCACGTGTACTAATTGCAGCGGTATTAGTGGCGCTTTGTCAGGCGGCTTACAGCCACGCCCCCGGCCACAAAAGGCGCCCCTTTTGGTCAGCTTCATGTTGAGCTTGTCATGTCAGTCGTTGTCCTGGCTTTGACTGTGACTCTTGGCATTCCTTTCTTTTTGTTTTTTTTCCTGTTGTCCAGGCAACATGTTTACTGATGCCAGCCGCAGGATATGAAAGCCAGCAGCAGACAGGCAGAGACAGGACTGCAGCCAGCTCGGACGCAGCTTTAAAGCAGCCTCTAATGAAGTGCGGCCCACCCAAAAAAAAACAAAAAACAGAAGCAGAGCAAAACAGTTCATATTTGGTTTTTCGGTACAACTCCGGCTCCATTTCCATTGCTGGCCGAACTCAACTCGCAATTCGAAAGACGCGTCTGGCCAGCTTGAAGTTTGTCACTCCATTTGATGCGATGTGTTGTGGCCTTGTGGTGGGTCGCACAGCCCCGGTGTCATGTGGCAGACTACTCGACTCCACGACTCCACGACTCCACGATTCCTCGACTCCTTGACTCCTTGACTCCTTGATGATGCCTTCAGCGCCTTGGTGCGCCTAATGGCACTGACTTTTTGACAGCCACTCTCGGGTAAGTTTCCTGTGTCGAGAGTCGCCCATGTCCGGTTTCTTGTGTCCTTTTCGCACCTACCCTTACACTTGACGGTCGCTGCAAAAACATTTGTCTGCGTCTCGCCGGTGGCCAATTTTATGGCCATAGATTTTATGTGCAGCTTATTACTTGGCTTCAATGTTGATTGTATTTGATTTTGGCTAAGGGATAAATCCTCTTATTGCCGAATTACGATTAGTTTTTGTGCTTTTACATGCCTATTTAAATTGTAGAAGCTCTTGTTAAAGTTTTCCAGCTTCCGCTTTTGCCAAATTTCAATATTTTACGACTCAATCTGCAATTTATTTAGCGGTTGCCAAACTTCATGCAGCGACGTCGTCAAATTTCATTTGCCAACTCCGTTTATTATGTTTTCAAATGGTATTGCTCATTTTTATGTATATAAAAAACTACAGTTGCATTCAAGCTCTACACTGTTGCCAAACTTCATGCGGCATTGCTGCCAAACTTCACCAAAACGCTATTTGCTATGCTTAAAATTCGGAACCAACTACCTACGCTTGAGTATTTTGTATTTACACAAAATCAAATGAAAAAATCATTGCATTTTTGTAAAATTTCAAGCAGCAGCGTTGCCAAACTTCACGCCATTTATTTCGTATAGGATACAAGAGCTAAGATTTCTTAATTTAATTAACTAAACTTAAAATCATTTGATTGTGGCATTTTCGACTGTTAACATTTTTGTCAAATTTCATGAAGCAGCATTGCCAAAGTTCCAAACTCATGTTGAACAGTTGCCCAACTACAGACCGCAGCGTTGCCAGACTTCACAGAAACGCCGTT